AGAGGAATATGTTTTCTCGTACTTTGCGAAGTGCATATATATTTAAAAGACACAGTCTCAAAAGAGTGCCAGTGTTAGTTGAACATAAGTAAATTCATATATTTTTCATACAATTTGTATTTCGTATCCAGTTTGTCTGAATTGTTCAACATTATTCGTTTAAGGTTTTATAGTGCACATGGAAGAAATCTCTGGTTACCAGAGCCCATGACCCAAATTCGAAGTTCAATTCCTGAGGGTATACAATTCTTACTCTGACATCGCTATCAAATGGGTATGTAGTTAATTGTTACTCTAACATTGCTATCACATGGGTATGTAGTTAATTGTTACTAATTGTTACTCTGACATCGCTATCACATGGGTATGTAGTTAATTGTTACTCTTACATCGCTATCACATGGGTATGTAGGTAATTGTTACTCTGACATCGCTATCACATGGGTATGTAGTTAATTGTTACTCTGATATCGCTATCACATGGGTATGTAGTGAATTGTTACCCTGATATCGCAATCACATTGGTATATAGTTAATTGTTACTCTTACATCGCTATCACATGGGTATGTAGGTAATTGTTACTCTGACATCGCTATCACATGGGTATGTAGTTAATTGTTACTCTGACATCGCTATCACATGGGCATGTAGTTAATTGTTACTCTGGCATCGCTATCACATGGGTAAATAGTTAATTGTTACTCTGACATCGCTATCACATGAGTACGTAGATAATTGTCACTCTGACATCGCTATCACATGGGCATGTAGTTAATTGTTACTCTGACATCGCTATCATATGGGTATGTAGTTAATTGTTACTCTTACATCGCTATCACATGGGTATGTAGTTAATTGTTACTCTTACATCGCTATCACATGGGTATGTAGTTAATTGTTACTCTGACATCGCTATCATATGGGTATGTAGTTAATTGTTAATCTTACATCGCTGTCACATGGGTATATAGTTAATTGTTACTCTTACATCGCTATTACATGGGTATGTAGTTAATTGTTACTCTTACATCGCTATCACATGGGCATGTATTTAATTGTTACTCTGACATCTCAATCACATCGGCATGTAGTTAATTGTTACTCTGACATCGCTATCACATGGGTATGTAGTTAATTGTTACTCTTACATCGCTATCACATGGGCATGTATTTAATTGTTACTCTGACATCTCAATCACATCGGCATGTAGTTAATTGTTACTCTGACATCGCTATCACATGGGTATGTAGTTAATTGTTACTCTGACATCGCAATCACATGGGTATGTAGTGAATTGTTACTCTGACATCGTTATCACATGGGTATGTAGTTAAGTGTTACTTTGACATCGCTATCATATGGGCATGTAATTAATTGTTACCCTGACATCGCTATCACATGGGTGTGTAGTTAATTGTTACTCTGACATCGCTATCACATGGGTATTTAGTGAATTGTTACTCTGACATTGCTATCACATGGGTTTGTAGTTAATTGTTACTCTTACATCGCTATCACATGGGTATGTAGTGAATTGTTACTCTGACATCGCTATCACATGGGCATGTAGTTAATTGTTACCCTTACATCGCTATCACATATGTATGTAGTTAATTGTTACTCTGACATCGCCATCACATGGGCATGTAGTTAATTGTTACTCTTACATCGCTACCATATGGGTATGTAGTTAATTGTTACTCTGACATTACTGTCACATGGGTATGTAGTTAATTGTTACTCTGACATAGCTATCACATGTGTATGTAGTTAATTGTTACTCTGATATCGCTATCACATGGGTATGTAGTGAATTGTTACTCTGTCATCGCTATCACATGGGTATGTAGTTAATTGTTACTCTGATATCGCTATCACATTGGTATGTAGTTAATTGTTACTCTGACATCGCTATCACATGGGTATGTAGTGAATTGTTACTCTTACATTCCTATCACATGGTTATGTAGTTAATTGTTACTCTGACATCGCTATCACATGGGTATGGAGTTAATTTTTACTCTGACATCACAATCACATTGACATGTAGTTATTTGTTACTCTGACATCGCTATCACACGGGCATGTAGTTAATTGTTACTCTTACATCGCTATCACATGGGTATGTAGGTAATTGTTACTCTGACATCGCTATCACATGGGTATGTAGTTACTTGTTACTCTGACATCGCTATCACATGGGTATGTAGTTAATTGTTTCCCTGACATCGCTATCACATGGGTATGTAGTTATTTGTAACTCTGACATCGCTATCACATGGGCATGTAGTGAATTGTTACTCTGACATCGCTATCACATGGGTATGTTGTGACTTGTTACTCTGATATAGCTATCACATGGGTATGTAGTTAATTGTTACTCTTACATCGCTGTCACATGGGTATGTAGTTAATTGTTACTCTTACATCGCTATCACATGGGCATGTATTTAATTGTTACTCTGACATCGCAGTCACATCGGCATGTAGTTATTTGTTACTCTGACAACGCTATCACATGGGTATGTAGTGAATTGTTTCTCTTACATCGCTATCACATGGGTATGTAGTTAATTGTTACTCTGACATCGCAATCACATCGGCATGTAGTTAATTGTTACTCTAACATCGCTATCACACGGGTATGTATTTAATTTTTACTCTGACATCGCTATCACATGGGTGTGTAGTGAATTGTTACTTTTACATCGCTATCACATGGGTATGTAGTTAATTGTTATTCTGACATAGCAATCACATCGGCATGTAGTTAATTGTTACTCTGACATCGCTATCACACGGGTATGTAGTTAATTGTTACTCTTACATCGCTATCACATGGGTATGCATTTAATTTTTACTCTGACATCGCATTCACATCGCCATGTAGTTAATTGTTACTCTGACATCGCTATCACATGGGTATGTAGTTCATAGTTACTCTGACATCGCTATCACATGTGTATGTAGTTAATTGTTACTCTGACATCGCTATCACATGGGTATGTAGTTAATTGTTACTCTCAAATCGCAATCACATTGGTATGTAGTTAATTGTTACTCTGATATCGCTATCAAATGGGTATGTAGTGAATTGTTACTCTGACATCGCTATCCCTTGGGTATGTAGTTAAGTGTTACTTTGACATCGCTATCATATGGGCATGTAGGAAATTGTTACCCTGACATCGCTATCACATGGGTATCTAGTTGTTACTCTGACATCGCTATCACATGAGTATGTAGTGAATTGTTACTCTGACATCGCTATCACATGGGTATGTAGTTAATTGTTACTCTGACATCGCAATCACATTGGCATGTAGTTAATTGTTACTCTTTCATCGCTATCACATGGGTATGTAGTTAATTGTTACTCAGACATCGCTATCACATGGGCATGTAGTTAATTGTTACTCTCACATCACTATCATATGGGTATGTAGTTAATTGTTAATTTGGCATTGCTGTGATATGGGTATGTAGTTAGTTGTTACTCTTACATCGCTGTCACATGGGTATGTAGTTAATTGTTGCTCCTACATCGCTATCACATGGGTATGTAGTTAATTGTTACTCTTATATCACTATCACATGGGCATGTATTTAATTGTTACTCTGACATCACAGTCACATCGGCATGTAGTTTATTGTTACTCTGACATCGCTGTCACACGGGTATGTATTTATTTGTTAATCTGACAACACTATCACATGGGTATTTAGTTAATTGTTACTCTGACATCGCTATCACATGGGTATGTAGTTAGTTGTTTCTCTGACATCGCAATCACATGGGTATGTAGTTAAGTGTTACTTTGACATCGCTATCATATGGGCATGTAGTTAATTGTTACCCTGACATCGCTCTCACATGGGTATGTAGTTAATTGTTACTCTGACATCGCTGTCACAAGGGTATGTAGTGAATTGTTACTCTGACATCGCAATCACATCGGCATGTAGTTAATTGTTACTCTTACATCGCTATCACATGGGTATGTAGTTAATTGTTACTCTGACATCGCTATCACATGGGTATGTAGTAAATTGTTACTCTGACATCGCTATCTCATGGGTATGTAGTTAATTGTTTCCCTGACATCGCAATCACATTGGTATGTAGTTAATTGTTACTCTTACATCGCTATCACATGGGTATGTAGTTAATTGTTACTCTGACTTCCCTATCACATGGGTATATAGTGAATTATTACTCCGACATCGCTATCACATGGGTATGTAGTTAAGTGTTACTTTGACATCGCTATCACATGGGTATGTGGTTAGTTGTTTCTCTGACATCGCTATCACATGGGTATGTAGTTTCATCATATGCCAGTGATTTGATCAATTTTCTTCTTTTGTGTCTCAGTAGTGATCTCTTTTTTTGTGGTAGATTTCCCTTGTCACTCAAGCAAGTGAATAGCTTAGATTTTGTTTCGACTTTATGTTTCGTGTTTCTTTAATTTTCGTCAATTAGTTATTCGCCTGAGTGGTAATGATTCTTGTATCTATTTATCAATATGTATGTTTTGTACAACTTTACATATTTCCACTGCTTGATTTCGATCTCCCAAAATGACGGTCCTTTACATATCATCTTTACCAGTTTAAATTTTAGGAGGTGTTGTTGATAATCTCTGTCTGATCATTTTTAAAAGCAGATGGTCCCTTCAGGTAAATGTATCGGTTGGTTAAGATTTGATGAAACTTTTCTTAACGTTAGATATTGCTTTTAATTGAGTCACTTTTAAGTGTGTGTGTGTGTATGTGTGTGGGTGTGTTTGTGTAATTTGAATTTTAAGGAAGCTTTAAAAGCTGTTTAGTCATATCGATATGACGTCTGCAGTGTGGCAATTTATAGTCATGTCTAGCATTGGGGCATCATGTCCCATCCAGTCACATTATCCTGACACCAGGCCGACCAGTCCTTACACTGACCTCTTAATCCTAAGCGCCCTCGAGGCAGCTGTTAGTAGTATTTGTATAAGTCTTTGGTATGACGCGGCCGGGGTTCGAACCTGCGACCTCCCGCATCGGAGATGGACATTCTAACCACTAGGCTACCATAGCGATCGCATTTTAAGTAATACATCTGTGTCTTTATGATTTGCTTGGACATTGCAATTAGTTTTTGTTTGATATAATCGCCATATTTATTTAGATTGAGTGAATTTAAAATAATAATAATAATAATAATAATAATAATAATAATAATAATAATAATAATAATAATAATAATAATAATAATAATAATACCAATATCAAATTTATGTATTAAACTATTTACGTTTATTTGCCACAAGATGAAATATGTACAGTCTGCCTGAATATAATCTTAGAATATTCAATCTCTCGTCTCTATCACTAATTCTATTCCACATTGCTCCTTACTTCACAGGTATGAATAAATTTTATTGGTGACATTTTTGAAAGATATTTGGCCGTATCGGCCAGCAAGTAAGTCTAATTTAGCAATGGAATAAATATTATTTTAAAAATTTTGGGACAATTTGTCAAGTGGGCATTACTTTGTTGAGAAGTGATATGTATGGAGTCAAATATTTATAGCAAAAACTGATCTGTGTTCAAGAAAAGTAATGCCAGAGCTGTTACGTTTTCTAGATCAGGGAATGCTCGCCTTTCTTGCAGCAAATACAACGTCCGTTCACACACACACACAATGTCAACATTATTTTAAAAACGACGTATTTATTACTTCATCTGTATTTACATTCGGTAGGTAAGTAGAGAAAGCAAAACTTGGTGAGATAGGAAAACAGACTTAATTACGAAAACGAAAGTGTGTAGGAAAAATGACAACTGCAGATAAGTAAAACAGATGTTACAATTTTATGAATTGCTGTAGTTGTCATTGCCACATAAACACATATATTTGTGAACAATTAGCAAAAGGGAAATCCCCGGGAAGAGATGAACTCACTGCGGAATTCTATCTATGATTAAAAAAATTGGAGGCAAATCTCCCTCCTTAATATCGATTACAAAATACTAAGTAAATTATTAGCAAATAGGGTTAGAAATTGTATGCCCAAAATTATAACTGATGATCAAACATGTGGTTCAAAAGGAAAGGACATACAAAACAATATTTTAAACATAAAAACAATTATTGATTACATTAAAGGAAATGGTAAGATAGGCGCCATGGTGCTTATCGATCAGGAAAAAGCTTTCGACAGAATTGAAGACAACTACATAGGGAAAGTACTAGAAAAAATTGGGTTTGGAGAAAATTTCCAAAGATGGACTAAAATCCTGTACAATGATATAACTGCGAGAGTACAGGTAAATGGAGCTGTTACGGAAAAATTTGTTATACAGCGATCAGTGAGGCAAGGATGCCCACTATCAATGGTATTATATGTAACAGCAATAGAAATTCTGAGTATAAGAATAAGGAACAACAGTAACATAGAAGGAATACAAATACCAAATCTGAAAAGTGAAATAAGAATGATTCAGCACGCAGATGATTGCACAAACTTCATTCGGAACCCTACCACTTTCATTCATTTAATGAAAGAATACGAAAACTTTGGTAAAGCATTGGGTTCGAAAATAAATCATGAAAAAACAGAAATTTTAAAAATAGGAAACTGGAGGGGTAATCACCCTGGATTATCACCACACTATACTAAGGAAAAGGTGAAAACCCTAGGAATTTACTTTAGGGAAAATTGAAGATCAGGAAAACCATAAACAGATAATAGAAAAGATTAAGAAATCAATAGATACCTGGGCAATAACGCCATTGAGTATTATGGAAAGAGCCCAAGTGGCCAAAACTTTTTTTTATCGAATATTAATTATATTTTAAAATCCATACATATGGAAAACAAAATTTTAGAGAAAATTGACAATGAAATTATAAAATATATATGGGGCTATAAAACACATTATGTCCAAAAAGATACGTTATACAGGCCAAAAAAGGGGTTTAAATTTATCGAATCTAATTATAATGAAAAAAGCAGATATAACATATCGTTTGAAAATAACCAAATCAAAACCAAGCATGCCGTGGGAGGCAATTTATTTATACTGGTTTGGGTTCATCCTTAAAAATAGACAGGATATATACAAAAATAATGTAATTTGCAAACTCCTAAAGGTACCTAGGAAATTTAAATACACAAAAGATGGAATTTTTAAATTTAGGGAAAACAATAAAATATGGAGGGGGATACGAAAATTACATATAAAACAATAAGGTAGTCCGAGTTTCCTCTGACCCTTGACACCCAATTTTTGATATCTGGTTTTTTATGTTGGGGTGTAGGGTCAGAGTCTATTCCATCTCAAAAAACTTGGAATTTGCCGACACCATTTGGTGTCGGCATAGGGTACTCGCCAACTATCAGGCCTAGCAAACTTAAATGACCTTACATTGACCCATAATTACATTAAATCGATAGGGAAATCATTTATCTGCTCAGAAATTACAAGCATATCGGCCGCGAGATTTAGTTAGTCATGTGACTATCAATTAAAATGGTGCGAACGAGGTCAAAATTCATCAACGCAGTAGTTACGTCTCGTCTGACAACGGATCAAAGACAAAATCGTGTTATGCTTGTAATTTCTGAGAAGATAAATGATTTTTCTATCGATTTAATGTAATTATGGGTCAATGTAAGGTCATTTAAGTTTTCTAGGCCTTATAGATGGTGAGTACCCTATGCCGACACCAAATGGTGTCCCTATCGATTTAATGTTATTATGGGTCAATGTAAGGTCATTTAAGTTTTCTAGGCCTAATAGTTGGTGAGTACCCTATGCCGACACCAAATGGTGTCGGCAAATTCCAAGTTTTGATAGGGAATAGACTCTGACCCTACAGCCCAACATAAAAAACCAAATATCAAAAATGGGGTGTCAAGGGTCAGAGGAAACTCGGACTAACAATAAGGGATTTAGTTATAAAAATAGTAGATGCAAAATTGAAATGGATGTATGGGGTTAATTGGGAAGAAAACAATTGGAAATCATGGGAAAAGATAAATTTATTAAAAATACAAAGTTTAATTTTTAAATACATACACAATGCCTGGTTAACTGGAGACAGCCAAAAGAAGGCACATCATTAGAACTATACCGAAATGTCTATTGTGAAAAAAATTTGAATTTTCTAAATAAAATAAAAAACATGTTTTTTTAAATTGTCAAAATATAACTATCGTCAATGCTGTTCAATGTTTGGACTATCCTATGTATGTCAGATCATCATGGGCCATAACCCAGATCACTGATACAGCCCTTTGGAGAGACAAGTGTGTCAAAAGAGAGTCCTCATTTATGGACCAGAAGTAAGACGAAGTATGATAAAGAGAAGATCAGTGAGATGCCCTGTGTGTTAAAGAACTGGTGTTAACATAACAATCAATGGCCCTTTTCAGGGCCAATACATTTCCTCAAAAAAGATTATCATTTTTTATTTTGCCATGTATATATATATATATATATATATATATATATATATATATATATATATATATATATATATATATATATATATATATATATATATATGTGTGTGTGTGTGTGTGTGTGTGTGTGTGTTCTATATATGTGTTATATGTCTGTCTATATAGTATGTGTATGTGTCCCTCCCTAGAGTAGAGGTAGCTGTGCGTATTTACCGTTAACTCCTTGCTACAGTGTTACAAGTGTCAAGTACCGTGACGTCATGCAACTTCTGTCATTCTTCTTTTTCCCATACAAAATTCCCGTTTGTCGTATATAGGCCCAAGGTGTGCCTCCCCCCCCCCCGGAAAATCGTGTCTGTATACTGGTCCACGGGGTGGGTGGGTGGGTCTGTAATGTCAATTCCCGTTGTCCGTATATCGCCCCACTATCCTACTTCATTGTCATCTATTGACTATAATTGTGTAAGGCTATCTAATTTATGTCAAAAGAGAGTGCATACAATATTATTATGTACATGCATGTGCGTTCGCGCGCGCGTGTGTATGTGTGTGTGCCTGTGTGTGTGATTTCATTTTTGTGCATTATTTATTGCCTTAGATTAACTGATACCAGAAATTTTTTGCTTAAAATGTGCGTGCGTGCATGTGTGTGTGTGTGTGTGTGTGTATAGTTATGCGTTATTTATTGCCCCTAGATTAACAGATAACCAGAAATGTTTTGATTGTAAGGTAACCTTGGGATGGTGGTCCCCGACCGAGCGGATAACAATAATAATAATAATAATAATAATAATAATAATAATAATAATAATAATAATAATAATAATAATAATGGTCTTCAAGATTATCATCATCATCATCATCATCATCATCATCATCATCATCATCATCATCAAGTCTTATTCTATTTGTTCTTTCTATGTCGGCTTATCTTTTCTCTGTATGTACATCGCCATAATTTTTCAATTTGAAGCCATATAGACAATGTGAATTCGTACTTTCTGTTTCCCCCAAAATAGAGCACTTCTTTGAATAGAAAAATCTTCCCAACAAAAAAAAAATACTTTTCACTGAAATCCACAGCAAGTCACACACTCTCCGTCCCAATCTTACGCTCACATCTTTCCAATTTTCAGAAACAGCATTGTTACGAATTTGTCCTTTCTGTTCCCCAAAAACTCAAACACTTCCAGGAAAGAAAAATCCATAATTTGCGCTTAAACCCACTGAACATCATACACTCTCCGTTAAAATCGTATGTTTGCATCTTTCCAAGCAATGTTGTTTCCGGATTTAAGAAATCTGATGAAAATGATAATTAAATCGTATGTGCTCTCCCTTAGGGACAAGTCATTGGGCAGAGTTTTCATTTTCTATATCATATAGACTTACATCCGTCCTTTATTAATCAACATAGATCCTATTCAGACAGGGCAGATCACACCAACAGATCAGGGTCTATGATGTTTGTTCTACTTATAAGAACTACTATGCGCTGTTAGGTCTGAGGGCAGGCTGTTGAAAGGGGGGTATATACGTATGTATTCTGTGAATGGGGCTTATATACGTGCGTATACTGTATAAGAAAGGTTAAGCTTTGCTAAATATTATATTTATGTAACA